TGCGAAGCAGACAATTCTTCTTCGAATGGTTCGTAACATTATGTAGAAACATGAAAATTTAAAGGAGAAATTGAATATGTAAAAAACATCATTATTTATTGGAAAACCTAACATAAAGTCTCAGGTCTGTCTATGTGCGTTTTTATTTGTGTCTATTACGAAATTGAAATTCGGTGTTACTAAAATCAAGAACCTCTCGAAGAGCCTGCGTCATGTTTGGGATGGCGCATGGGCTCAGAAGTACAAAGCACACAATGGCTGATCATGAGCGTAGCTCACGTCGGTGAAGTATGCACCCAAATAGGCGGGGTCCACAGCAAAAAAGTGGCTTCGAAAACCGTTTGGAAGCCGAGAATAGAAACCAGCGAAGAAATAAGACCAGCCCTTATGGTGGGTAGGGTGTGCAGACGGTGAAACGAGCAAGCCAGAATTGAGATCTTGATCACCCTATTCCTTACCCCTGGATCCCTTGTGACACCCCGAGGATTTGACACCTTATGGTGTAGGTTTAAACTTCACCTAGCTCATTGTGGAAGTAATACCTGCAGATGTGAGCAGATAGGGCTAGAAAAGAGCTTATGAAATATATATCTGATAGATTTTTGCGTTACTGTGAGGAGCTAAACTTGAGTAAAATATTTGCTTGGTAATGTGTCCCGCATTTCATCGGGCTCCACTGTGTTATGCATGACTATGTACTCTGTATCAAAGATGCACCCTATTTAAAGGTGCCGTCAGCTCCAGTAGATGATGAGAATTACTCGAAGTGGTCGATTTGCAAGTTCCATCCCGAATTGCTACTGTGCAAGTGGGATCCGATCAAGAAGGTCGCTATCCCGGCAATCGAATATCAACCGCATTCCTCTTCAGCAGTCGAGAATTCCGCTGATACCGACCAAGCCGACTTTTCTGCCATCGATCTATCCCAGGTTCGAATAATAATACTGCCTACGATTTTCCTGTAAATAATTTATAATCTTATATCAGGACATCACAACTGTGACTGTTTAAGGCAACAGCTTTTATGACGTTTTCGAGTAGCATAAAGGAACCGTTCAAAGTCAAAGAAAGTCCGATCTTACGAGGAGCAAAGACCGACAATCGACCTTTCCATCCGCGTACAAATGGCCTGGTCGGAACAGAGAGGTAATTTTTAGAGAATATGTCAGTATAGTGAATAAGCTCCAACCAAGATTGATAACAACTTTTATTTGGCTTACGTTTCGGCGCTTTCGCCTTCTTCAGAGCCTGGAAAGAGGAAAGCCATTTACGAAACTACCCGTCCAAATACTATTTCAACCTACAAGAATCGCTCAGCAGGGGTAAACTCCTCCATGACATCGCCCTAGTAGTTTACCCCTGCTGAGCGATTCTTGTAGGTTGAAATAGTATTTGGACGGGTAGTTTCGTAAATGGCTTTCCTCTTTCCAGGCTCTGAAGAAGGCGAAAGCGCCGAAACGTAAGCCAAATAAAAGTTGTTATCAATCTTGGTTGGAGCTTATTCACTATACTGACATATTCTCTACGACTCATGCCAAGATTCATTGAGGCCGATGTCAGACTTTGCGAATCGCGCGATTCGCTAGCGTCTGCGGTCGCGTCGCGGCCAGTGAATCACTCAATTGGCTGGTACCGCAACGCGACCGCGGACGCTAGCGAATCGCGCGATTCGCAAAGTCTGACATCGGCCTGAGAGTCGCACATGGAGAATGCCATTCAGTTATGGGTGGATAGTCGGGACGGTCTGAGTAGAGCAGACATAAAGAGAATCGATTAACTCCTTCTCTTCCTACCATTTTTACCTACTTTTCTTCCTACCATCTCCTTCGGAGAGAACTGCATGTGACGAGGCCACTAAACGCGAAGCACACCACATGAGCGGTACGCGTTACTGGCTATGAACCAGGGAAGGTCCTGTTTGAGGTTGAACGAGGATAACCATATCCCCGAATACACGGTCCGGTCGCAATTGTGGCAATTTAAAGGGATGCGGTTATTGAACAGGAGGTCATTTTCGACGAGTGTTTGGTATTCTTGACCTTTTAATATTCGCCCCTCACCCCGGCTCGTTGGGATGTTTCAAAGGAATTTTCGGCGGAGTTCAGCTTCTTAGGGGTCCCACAAATTTTCAAAATCGGTCAAGCGATCGACTCTAATTAGGGATCTTCTACTTTTGTGAAGGCTAGTCTGCTACGACGGTGAGACACGAAACGGTAAGGAGAGAGTTACGCGAGGGAACCCTCCGTTTAAGAGGGCGCAGATACTATATCTGTTGGGTGCGAGTGAATATGGCGGCGGTCCTAGCGATCAAGGCAGTGCCTTTGTTGGGCATTTTCGTATCGCAACAGTGTCACAGCCTATGCTCAAGGACCAGGCTACCTCATTCTCGGAAAGCATCGCAATAAGGATTCAATGTCGACCCGAGGCTTCAACAAGTATCTTTTGAAATATGCGGTAAAACATTTCTGAGCTATGTTAGAATGAAAGAATGGGTGTCCCCCAAGAGGCCCACCGCGCGGCGAAGGAAGAGACGCAGACGCGGCAAAGGACGAGTCGCAGCGCATACTGTAGCGGTTAGGCGTCAGGTTAAATAGAGTGTACCATACTACGTCTCATATCGCACAGCACGCGCTGCAACTCGTCCTTTGCCGCATCTGCGTCTCTTGCTTCGCCGCGCGGTGGGCCTGTTGGGGGACACCCTGAAAGAATCCCTCTTCGCTCGTAAGGCACGAAGCTATAGATGAAAAATAGGGAACGAGCTTCTAATACTACGCTTCTACAATGTGGGGAATACGTTCCATGGGTGTGATCCCATAGTAAACCACACCGTCTCGTGACTTACTATTGGGAAACGCTATCACCACAGCGAGCTCGTAACAGGTGCTATACGCCCTAGCTTTAATATATACACCGGCCAATGATGACTTTCCTTGAATTCTTTGTTTCTGAGTAGTTTTATCCTTTATATTTAGAAACAGAGTCAACCTCCTCGCTACGATGGTAAATTGAGCGTTGAAAATGATCTGGATGTGAGCTATGGAAGAAAACCGGTTGCTTCACCAGAAGTGGACGAGTTCGACGAGAACATCCTGATGGTTAACGATAACGTTTTCGGAGGATAAAGCACAGCTTGGTGTTTGAGAAAGGATACTTGCGCACCTAGCGCACTACTGCGTCCACATGGCCTACCGGACCACATTAAAAATGATAAATTAGTAGGTTTTCGATAAATATCCCGACATTTCGTGGGAAGGTAAGAAGACTTCAGTGGAGTAGTAATCGTGTAGCCGTGGTCACACTTCGCTTAGAACCTGCTCCGTAATCGATGGGTAGTTTTTAGTCATTGTGCATTTATGTAATGTGATTTTTATATTGTAATTTATTATGAATTATTGCAATATTTCGTGCAAAAGATTTCTTGCGATAAAAATGCCATGACATTGCCAGATAAGAATGTAGAAGTGTCGTTGGTTACTTGCCAGCAGTGGGACCTAAATAAAGCAAATCATTAAAGGAATCTTCCACGGACCATGGACCAGTGGGCGGGACCGGAA